ACTACAGAAATGATATAATATATATATATATATATATATATATATATATATATATATATATATAGAGAGAGAGAGAGAACTAATATATAAAACACTATATTTTATTCGAATATACAGTAAAAGGAGCAGTTTAGTGCCAAAGGTTAATATATAAACCAAATGAGAGTTAGAAATTTCATTTATTTTTTTTGTGGGAGGTGGGTAATCACAGTGATATTCTCTTTCTTTCAAAGACAATCTTAAAATGTATAGTTTGTTTGGCTTGAATATGATAGAAAAAATATATCTATAGTATGGAACATAGATATACAGTAAATTTTACTCTATGGATATCTTCATTTAAAGAGCTTTCAACATGTACTCTGATAAACCTTTTTAAAAGAAAACAAAAACATAAGCATTTCACCCTCAGCAAGGCAGGAGTGCCACTGGTTGGCAGGGATTTACATAGAGTAAAGGTAAACTGCATATCGGAGGAGTGAGGAAAGGATAAAAGATTAACGGGGGTTCAAGCTTATATGAGCATTCTATTTATGTTCGTTTGAGCGTTACATTTAAATATGACTGACTGAGAAATATTTTAAAATCTTAAGTTCTGTTTACAGTTTGTAAAAATCATTTCTAATCCTTAGTTTTTTTTCATGTGCAATAAGAATAAATTTACATTTCACTGTAGTAAAAGCAGTGATTTATTTCAAAACAATTTTTTTCAAAATTTGAGAACAGAGAAATTTTACTTTAAAATAAAGTTTTCGCAGGATAATCAGAGCTTACAAATTTCAAGGATTACAAATTTCTTCAATACTCTCAGCTGGATTTCTCAGCTGTTAAAAGACTGACATAAAAATGGTGAAAACTTTTCAATATTCTCACTAGATTTCTCAGCTGTTAAAAGACTTTGACATAAAAATGGTGAAAACTCTTCAATGTTCATACTTCATTTACATTGTTTTTTTTTTTTATAAGCATCAAGTTTCATCAGGCAGTAAGGCAAATGATTTTCGGGAGATTGAGGTTTTGATTTTGTGGAACAACTTCCTAATTGCTTTTGTTTTCAGATCCACCCTGACCCGAGGTAGTAGCACCTGTTGACATCCCATCTCTGGGCAAAACCCCAAACAACAACAAAACACTATGATTGTATAAAAATACATTTTTATATAAAAAAAATTACCAACACTACCTATTTGTAGTAGAATTACCAACAATACATTTTGTCTGTGATTGAAGACATACACTTGCATTCAAAATATTTAGATTTCAGTATTAAATAACCCACAGAGGTGTTGCTATGCCGTTAAATAAAATCAACCACTAAAACAACCAAAATGAAACAACTCTTTCATGACATTAATCCATATAATATCCTACAATTTCTTAAAGAAATCAAACTGTATTCTAAAATCTAACTTCAACAAAACTACAACATAAAAAACACATATCACTGTGTCTAATGTATATACACAAAAGCTGAGCATCATCTACCATGTATTCAATTGTGAAAGCAGAATAACATTTATTTTATAACTTCAGAGCTCCCAAGAAAATTAAATTTCGGCATTAAATGACCCATAATGTGTTGATATGCCATTAAACAAATAAATTATATTAGCATCAAGTAATTTTGGTGGTGCTTAGCTTAAGTTTTAATTCATGCTTAACATTTGAGAGAGTTGAAAATGTACTTTAAATTTAACACTTGTTTCATGCTTAAAATAAGTTTAATTTATGAACTAATCTGGGATGTGTGGGTGGTGTAATGGTTAATGGCTCAAAATAAGAAATTGGAAGAACTGAGTTTGAATTCCCAACAAGTTTTTTACATTCATATACAAACAAATACCCTTGGGTAAGGTATAAATCTATCTCCTCTTCCCCCCAATTATAGGTTAAATAATATGACTTGTATCTGGAAAAATCATTGTTATCACCAAAAATTGTTAATGCTCAAGATGATATGTATAATAGGCCTGGCAGCTATGTGACTGGAGTGTATGACTGGGGGCAGACATGCAGAGACCTAAATTACAATTTAGTCTTTTTAAAAAGAAATCTTTCTTTTTTTTAACTCTTGAATTAACTGAAGTTTATTACTTAAAACACTGACCTAAGTATAAGGTTCATTTTAAAATTATAATTTCTCTTCACAGTTTGGAAATCATTCCTCTACAAAAAAACTATTTCTAATGCTTAAATTTTATGTACAGAATAAATTCAAATTTCAAAGCAGAAAGAGCAGGGATTTACTGCGAAAGAAAATTTATTTCAAAATTTGAGAAAGGTTATAGGTTAAATAGTAGGAGTTGTATCTGGAAATATCTCCAAAAAATTGTTAATGCCCAAAATGATAACTATAACATAGCAGAAATTTAATTTATTTTCTGTTAAGGTGGGAGTAACATTAAGTTGGATAAACACAGCTATAAGGTCTTTCTTTAAGAGACTATCTTAAAATGAGGTGTAATTTTATTCTGTCATTTTGGTTTGAAAAGGATATATATGTAACACATAAAATATGTTAAATTACTGTAATTTTTATTATTATTATTACAATATATTAAATAGTGCACAGTGAGTTAGTCCTGGGTATGACGATAAACTACATCCAGCAGCAAGGTCTCTGATCAGAAGATTGGAGGTTTTGAGGAGTGTGGAGCCACCTCTTAATTGATGTTGTTCCCAGGTCAACTCAGACCCAGGGTGGTAGCACCTGTTAGAGTCCTAGCTATGGGAAAATAGTGACACTCTCCAACAAAAACAAAATGATATAAAAGTATAAAAATACATTTTTATAGAAAAAAATTTACCAACAATACATATTTGTAGTAAAATTACCAACAATACGCACATACTAATAAATTGCAGCGACTTCACTCAAATCCATTTAAAATACTACCAAACAATCAACATAAAAGAATTTTCATAACATTAAGCCATATAATATCTGACAATTTTTAAAATCAAACTGTATTCCAAAATATAATTTCAACTGCAACATAAAACAGACATGTCACTGACTGCCTGTAGTAATTATATCCATGAACATGTATATGCACAAAAGCCAAGTATCATCTACCATGTATTCAATTGTGAAAGCAGAATAACATATTTTATTACTTCAGAGCTCCCAAGAAAATTAAATTTTGGCATTAAATCATCTTTAAGTTGTTGATATGCCTTTAAACAATCAATCATGCACAGTGAGTGCTCAATGTAAAATAACAGAGCCAAGATATATATTAAAAAGAATTATTTAGTCATTCACCACCTTTTGATGGTACACTTAAGTTTCATGCATGTGGCAATCATCAGGCATAAACTAAATTTGTCTTTTCTAACTTTCCTTTTTTTTTTTTTTATGGCGACAGGAATGATATTGGAGTAGTTCATTTCTATCGGAAAAGGCCAAAAAGAGAAAAACACATAAAGTGTGGCAGCAGTGTCATCCCAGTTCTATATTTTCAGCAGATACTTGGTTTTGTGTCTACAGATAACCATTAATTCACTTCTGTTATTCAGCATATTAGAGTTCTATATTTTGTAGTATAATAAGTTTTTCTAAGAGGCAAAGGTTTTATATTTCCTCTTTGCCATTGTATGATGAAGCTCTTGCTACTACCCCCACAATATTTCTGGATTAATCCCATTATATTTTTACCAGTCAATAATATTTTGAGAAAGCTATATTATTTTGATATTTTTTCATGCTTAATTTACAAGTTATAGAATCTTTGTTTCTGTTCTCTTTCCATTGAACCAAAATAACATTTCAGTTAGTTATGTTTAATATTAGCTCTGCATACAATATTATTAGTTAAACATTCAACATTTAAGGGAGATTTATTACTGCTTATATTTTTTTCTTTTTAAACATTTCACCCCAAGCAAGGTGAGAATGCCACTAGTACACAGTGGTGTTACAGAGAGTGAATGTGAGAGAAAAGACTATGGATATGGAAGGGGAAAGGGAAGGATAAAAGCTGAATGAGGTTCAAGAAGATAGATGGTGATTGACATTGCATTTAAATTTTTGAAGTTTATAGTTATTAGTGAAGCAAGGAAATGGAAGGGAGTTCCACAGGCAGGAAGTGCGAGAAAAGAAACTGTTGGAGTAGAAGTGACAGTTATATATACCTAATTCAACAGTAAAAGAGTGGGACCTAGATGCCAATCTGGTAGCATGCATAAACACACCTAATCCGAGCACCAGCAAAAAAAGCTCGTCAGAGCAGTAGCCATGAAAATATTTATAGAAAATATAGAAGGAAGCCACATCACATCTGTGAGAAAGTGACTGAAGTCAAAATGCCAAGTCAGGATCGATTACATTGCTGATCCTTCTTTGGATTATGTCAAGAACATCAAGATAAATGGCAGAAGCACCTGATTCAATGCATGGACGAATGGGAGATTTGTAAATGTGCAAGACATAGAGACCCAACTTTCCTTGCAGTAGATGCAGCTATTGATTTAATGTAGGCATTCAAGTCAGTGGCAAAATTGAGGCAAGAAGTTGCAGTGTGTTGCTCTCCATTAGTCTAGCATTAGCTTTTAATTTTGCTATAGCATATAAACTTCCACAAGTTATTTCAATCTTAAATGCTTATTGATGAAGATATTCCTATATTTTTACATTATGGCTATAAAGGGGGTTGAATTATAACATGTTGCAGGATCTTTTTTATTCTTTTATATATATATATATATATATATATATATATATGTATAATTATTTATTTAAAAATTATAACATAAAATATTTTATAAAATCACTAAAAAAATAGCTTTTTTTTAGTGATTTTATAACATATTTATGTTATAATTTTAAATAAATAATTATATTCGCTCTACTCTGTATTGAGCACTCTTTTAAGAATAGTAATTGTTGTTTATTGGAATTTATTCTGCATACACCAATCATATACTTGTGTGTGTATATATATATATATATATATATATATAAAGTCTTATCCACACATACATGAAGCAGTATGACTCACCTTCATTTTAGCAATTCCTTCTCGGGTAGAGTCAGTCCCATTCAATTGACGTACCACTGCTGAACCCAGATACTAGTAAAAAGAAATTTATAGAGTTAATATTTTGGAAAGTAAGTATAAAAACATGTATAAAAACAAACACACATATACATAGATATATTTATTTTGGTGCAGCCTTGTTCCAATAACCATTACACATAATGTGACTGTAAACTATTTTAAAATACACCACCCCCCCACCCCCAAGAATACAAGGATATAATCTAAGGAATTCTGACTAGCACACAGACACCATACTGGTCTTGGAAAATGGCTAAGACACTCAAAAGTATTTTAAGAAAACAATTACACATTACGAATTTCGGACAGTTTATCCACAACTTGAAGCACAATACTCAACACATTTATTTGAAAATTAAAAAAAAATACAATAAAAGATTAAACCAGTAGACTTTGCTGGCTATTTTTAATCAAACATGTATGGATAAATACTTGTTACATACATATATATATATATACACACACACATATAAAATACATATATACATACATACATACAAATATAAAAAATATATATACATACATACAAAATATATATATATTATATATATATATAAATATATATATATATATATATATATATATATATATATAAAATATATATATATATATACATATAAAATATATATATATATATACATACAAAAAATATATATATACATACATATAAAATATATATATATATACATACATATAAAATATATATATATATACATACATATAAAATATATATATATACATACATATAAAATATATATACATACAAACATACATATAAAATATACATACATATAAAATATACATATAAAATATACATACATATAAAATATACATACATATAAAAATATATATACATACATATAAATATATATATACATACACATATAAAAAATATATACATAAATACATATAAAATATAATATACATACATATTTATAAAATATATATACATACATATAAAAAATATATATAAATACATACATATAAAATATATACATACATACATATAAAATATATATACATACATACATACATATAAAAATATATATACATACATACATACATATAAATTTATTTATACATAAATATAATACATACATACATACATATAAAATATGTATATACATACATACATATAAAATATGTACATACATATAAAAAATATGTGGAATACATACATACATACATATAAAATATGTATACATACATACATACATATAAAATATGTATACATACATACATACATATAAAATATATATACATACATACATACATATAAAATATGTATACATACATACATATAAATATGTATACATACATACATATAAAATATGCATAAATACATACAAAATATGCATACATACATACAAAATATGCATACATACATATAAAATATGTATACATACATACATATAAAATATGTATACATACATACATATAAAATATGCATACATACATACATAATATGTATACATACATACATATAAAATATGTACACATACATACATATAAAATATGTATACATACATACATATATAAATATGTATACATACATATGAAATATGTATACATACATACATACATACATACAAAATATGTATACATACATTTTACACAAAACAAAATACAAAATATGTATACATACAAAATATGTATACATACAAAATATGTATACATACATACATACAAAATATGTATACATACATACATACAAAATATATATACATACATACATACATACATACATACATACATATATATATATGTGCAATTTTTTTATATATATTATTTATATATTATATATGCGTGGTACTTATAGGAAAGCGCTCAATATCTTTAACAGAGCTAATATATTTAGTTGGAGTGATGTGAGTTTACAAAAAGTATTGGAATGGCAAGACCAATTCTTATGTTTTTGTTTTTCACCAAAGACATTTAGGTTTAAGATCAAAAGATAAATATGAGAAAAGTGTTCAGAATTTCAGCTAAATGAGCCTTGCTCAAACATTTTCATGTAGCTTAATGATAAAGCCTACCAGACATGAAAGTGGTTTCACACATTTAAAAGGAAATACAAGTTCAATTTCTGAAAAAAGGCTTATTTTTTTTTAAAAACAATTTTTTATCATTTCACCCTCAGCAGGGCAATGACTCCACAAAACAGTAAAACAATGAGGCCTTCTTGCCAATCTAGTGGCATTCTTAGATGCATCTGAGATACCAAGGAAGAAAGTTCATCAGAAAAATTGCCATAAAAATATTTATACACAAGTAACAAAGTTCCCTGTGGACTTTGAAATTCAGAGTTTCCCTGTTCTGAGACTGGTTGCCATTCAAGGCTAGATAGTCCAGTCTACTCCGTTATTTGAGCCTTAGCTGTGTGGAGAAGAAAGAGATTTATAACTGGGCAGTACTAAATAAGAACAAGATGAGATATATACACTAATTACATTTTTCAGACTGTTGTCCTCATCTTTATTGCCATGTAGGTCTGATGAATTGGATCGTATTTACGATTCCAATGGAATAAATTATGACCATGGAATATTAGTGTTTAAGCCTTTTTTATTATTTGTTTAAAATATATATATAAAATGTAAAATATATATATATATATATAAAATAAATATATATATATATATATATATATATAAAATGTAAAATATATATATATATATAAAAAAATGTAAAATATATATATATATATATATATATATAAAAAATAAAATAAATATATATATATAAAAATGTAAAATATATATATATATATATATATATATATAAAATGTAATATATATATATATATATATATATAAAATGGTAAAAAATATATATATATATATAAAATGTATATATATATATATATATATAAAAATTAAAATATATATATATATATATATATAAAATGTAAAATATATATATATATATATATATATAAAATGTAAAATATATATATATATATATATAAAATAAAATATATATATATATAAAATGTAAAATATATATATATATATATATATAAAAATGTAAAATATATATACATATATATATAAAAATGTAAACAAAATATATATATATATATATATATATATATATATATATATATATAATAAGGCTGATACATAATTCACAATAAAACACTGTGAATATAGCAATAAAGATGAGATATCCCTAAACATAAGCAAGGAAACAAGAACAATCAAACCCCATCGATTAAATAAAGGTTTAATTTTGTGATTCCCTTCAGCTATTGACTGGTGGAAACAGGGCAAACAATAAATGAACAGTACTAAATAAGAACTAGATGAGATATCCATAGATATGGATAAGAGAACATTAAAAACATTACATAGTGTACATAACACCTCATCTCAGAAATATAGACAAATACTGAAGAAGGCCAAAGCGTACAACAGCTGAAACGTTGTAATAAATATGGCAACAAAGATGAGGACAATAGTCTGAATAATTTAAATAGTGTACATAATACCTCATCTCAGAAATATAGACAGATACTGAAGGGCCAAAACATTTTAATAAATATGGCGACAAAGATAAGGATAATAGTCTGAATAATATAAATAGTGTACATAACACCTCATCTAAGAAATATAGACAGATACTGAAGGATCGGTATGGACCTGATATACCAGGTGACCAAGATAAGGACAATAGTCTGAATAATGTAAATAACATACAGAACACCTCATCTCAGAAATAAAAACAGATACTGAAGAAGGCCGGAGCATACAACGGCCAAAACATTGTAATAAATATAGTGACAAAGATGAGGACAATAGTCCGAATAATGTAAATAGTGCATATAATACCTCATCTCAGAAATATAGACAGATACTGAAGAATAATCTACCCTGGAGATTAAATAAAACGCTTAGGTATTTGTTTATATTTTTTAAAAGCTAGTTTATTTGGGGACTGGTCGAGGTAAGGTGGTATTCTTACCTGAGCAATGTAATTGCAACATCCCTTGATTAGAACCTCTGGCTTGTGACACCACTGTTTTACTGGACTAGTGGACTGAGCAAGATGTGGCGGACGTATATGTACAGAGTCATCTTGAATGTGTTTACCCTGAAAAGAAAAAAGAAACAGAACAAAATTTTCATTTCAAAATTTACAAGAATCCACAATATATAAAGAGAATAAGAACTCCTTAAATTTGGTCAATACAGTCAAGTCCATTGCCAAGAACTTGGTCAGAAGGCTCTCCAAGAAAATCCTTAACCCTACCATGGGAAAATGATACAAACATTTTTATTCATTTGTGTTTCTCCTGATATAGTCTGATGACTCAGCCTTTAATGGCTTTGAGAACATTTAAGTCGAATATTTCATTTTTATAAAGGGTGTTTCAATAAATTGGACAGATTTTAATGGGAATTAAGTTTAAGCATCTAATGATTCTTTTCTTTTTCTTTCAGATTTGGCAGACATTTGGGTGATATTATTTTCACAGATAATTGCCATGATTTAAAGAACATGATCCAATAAAGAAATAAATTAATTTTCGCGATTCATTGTAATAAAAAATTAAACTGCACCACATAAAATATGTTCTTTATTTAAAATGAATCTTTTTGTTTTAAAAAAATTTTTTTTTCATATACAGAACAGATAAGCTCAGATGATTCTATAAAATGTCAGACCTAAAATCATAAAAAAAAAATCACTAATTTTTTTTTATTTTAACAAATTTCAGGCCTTCAAAAAAAATGAATAAATACTAATCTTCCATGTGCTGTCTCGCTTCAGGAGATTGGCGATCATGGCTCTTGACAATTTCCTCTCCTTTGTAGCTCCTTAGGTAGCCTATTAACTGCTTTCCTCTGTCTGTCATACCTTCAATATGTCTTGTGAGTGTTAAATTCTCTAAGCTCTCTTTCCTCATTATAAGCCCTGGAAATTTCAATAATCTCTTTCTGATTTGAAGTATAAATGTCCTTTTTTACCATTTCCATCTAAGACATCTTGTTGCGAAAATAAAGCAAACTGTCAAAAATTCACAGCACATATACTCAAATAATTGCAAATCGACTCTCCCAGTAATCGGCTTGCTTGCTGCCCTCTTCTTCCTTGACTTTATATGTGTTTGAAGGTAGGAACACTAATCCGTAGTCAGCATATTCGGGCTATTCCAGCAACCCCGTAGGTGGGAGATCCGAGCTATTCCAACAACCCCGTAGGTGGGAGATCTGAGCTATTCCAACAACCCCGTAGGTGGGAGATCCGAGCTATTCCAACAACCCCGTAGGTGGGAGATCCGAGCTATTCCAACAACCCCGTAGGTGGGAGATCCGAGCTATTCCAACAACCCCGTAGGTGGGAGATCCGAGCTATTCCAACAACCCCATAGGTGGGAGATCCGAAGCTATTCCAACAACCCCGTAGGTGGGAGATCCGAGCTATTCCAACAACCCCATAGGTGGGAGATCCGGGCTATTCCAGCAACCCCATAGGTAGGACATCCGGGCTATTCTAGCAACCCCATAGGTAGGACATCCGGGCTATTCCAGCAACCCCATAGGTAGGACATCCGGGCTATTCCAGCAACCCCATAGGTAGGACATCCAGGCTATTCCAGCAAACCTGTAGGTAGGAGATCCAAGCTATTCCAACAACCCCATAAGTAGGACATCTGGGCTATTCTAACAACTGCTTTCTGTTAAAAAATAAAGGAATGTTTTTCTTTCTATCATGGATCCAATAGCATTGGCAAGCACATATCCTCAACCTTTTTGAAGGTAAGTGGATTCCTTCTACACACTTTCTCATTAAATTATTTCCTAAAAAATTTTCCCTATTTTTCCATGCCAAAGCATAAAGAGAATTTTCTAAGACATCAAATATCCAAGGTTGAATGGAAAGTTCTAATAAATATAATTTTATTTGCCCAAATAAAAGATAAGTAGTATTATATAGCAATTTCTAATGGTAACCCTTGCAAAATAAAAAATGGTATTATGTAAGGGTTTAAATATCCAATCTAGAATTGAATATCTTAGAAAAATAAAAACAAATTTCAGACCTCTCTCCGGACTTCATCAGTGTCTCGGCCATTGAACTGGGTAGACATGAATGCTGACTGCCCAGCTGCCATGGACATTGGTTTTCTTTGTTCCTCCCCCATCATCATTGACGGACGCAGGTTGGTATAGTCCTTGAACAGATCAATGTCACTGTAATAAGGCTTATTTTCTTCCGTACTGGGAACAAATGAACGTGAATTACGATTCTGGGGAAAAAAAATGTCAAAATATAAAGTAAAAATAAAAAATCCATATCTGAATTGCAAGATGAAGTTGTTTTCTCTTTAACTTTGGACACATCTCAGATTTAATTACTTGTTGGGCACTGTTGTAGTTATATGTGTGACTTTTGGACCATTTAGAAAATAATAACCCCCTTAAACACTCTCGCAAATTCATGAAAGATTTTTGTGAACTTATTTTCTAATCAATTCACACAAAAGTCAACACCTCTATGCAAAATTAGATTTTGGTTCTTTTTTATGCATATAAAAATAAAAGCATACTGCTTCTCAAGGTTCAAAACAATTTTGGAGGCCAGTTTGATCTACATGTGCATACGCAGATGCACAATACAATAGGACAGCCAAGAACTGATGACTAAGGTCTTGTCCACGTAATCACAGAAACATTAGGCTAACCATCATAAAGTAAGTCTGTCCATATATCTTATATCACATTACAAACACTTAATTACAAACTTCACTGCAAGGAAAATTGAACATTTCATTGTTATTGCATACTTCTGAAAAGTACATATAAATGTTATTGCAAATGATGTTCTGCTTCTATTTTCCCTTCAAAAATTAACCTTTTTATGTTTCATTTAAAAGACGTTTTGTTGTTGTTAAATGTTTGGAATCCCAACACTCAGATAACAAAATCCTGGGTAAATGGATCCAGACACTCCACTATATTATGATATATTATGTTATTAAAAGTATTTTACAGACCTTTACTTCAATGGTTATTTCATGTACACATCTAAAGACTATGATTCCTCTATATTATTAATGTTGTTATTATATATTAGTTTACAACAAAAGAATTTTCATTCTTTTTACAGACATTTATGCCAAAGTTTATTTCATAGGCACATCTAAAGACCACAATGCCACTGTATTATTATTATTATTTGTATTACAGTGTAACCCGGATATAAGAGAGATTTTCTCTGGTCCCAAATTAGAGCCTGTGTTAATGTATATATAATAGACCAAACCCGGATATAAGAGACTTCTTCTCTGGTCCCGACAACTCTCTTATATTCGGGTTACACTGTATATACAATTTAATGATATATATTGTATCATTACTGTCCAAATATACTTTTTATGCTAGTTGTTGCAATGGGGGATACAAGTATTGATATTCTGTTAATACAACAGATCATGGTCCTCATTCTCCTCCCATCACAGAAATGAGTCAAAGAGCAATAAAGAGACTAACTAGAAACTGTACTCACAGTCATTTCAGGAACTTGTTTCTCGCCCAATGATGCTAGTAACCTTTTGCGATGACCAATCGTCCCAATATCTAATACCTGAAATGAAAAGTAAACAACATAAGATAAAGTCATTGTTTATTTTGAGACTAGTTTCTACTAAATATTACCACATGTTGCACATGTACTTCTCGTGGCATGTTGTCTCTGATGCACATGTGAGTCCATTCCATAGACTAATTTAAAGCAATATAATTCATATTCATTTTCAGCCTGTGAAGGTCTTTTGTTGGACATAGCACTTCCCCAGATCTCCCTATCTTTGATGTTCATGTACTAGTCTTGACTATTGAGGTAGGCAATGCAGTTGGGCCTTGGCTTAAATCCAGTAACCCAACATTGTGGTATTATACAATGGGGAGGAATGGGTCATTACACTGCTATACTGGCCCACTGTGTGTTGGTAGGAGTGGATGTGACTGTCTAATCGATAACTAGCAGAAGAATAAATGGATTTGTACCTTCCCTAATGCACATGACTGGAATTTGAACTCAGCTCTCTGATTTCTCATTCCAAGCCATTATCCATTACACCACCTGCACATCCAAGTTTACAACACCTGGTATTCTCAAGTGGTCACCCATCTAGGACCTGACCAGGCTTGGCTTTTCTTATCTTCAGTGACCAGACATAACCAGAGTTTCAGCATGTTCATATTAGGTAAGATCAAATGTAATTCCTGTTTTGGTGAACCAATTGTAATGACAAATGGATCCTCTTAATAAGCCATTCCTTAAATGTGTAAAAGGTCAATGCAAAAAAGTAGTAGTAATAAATCTCTACAAAAGCTGAGCTCCATGGAGGAAAGGTAATGTTGTGCTTGTTGCGGGATTGTCAGGTTATCATTCATTTAGACTTCTTAAAATGCAATGGAACACTAAATGCACATTTATATATCAAGCAGCTGGAACATGTCCTTAGAAGTCTGGTCTGTCTTCAGCAATAGGAAAAATGTTGTTTTCCTCCATGACAACCCAAGGTAACATACCTTATATAACCCTCTACCACAAGTAGCTCCTGGGTGAATATCATTGTAATATCTCATTAGTAAGTAGGGGAGATCAGGCTGCTAATATTATGCATCTTATTTCTTTTGTTTCAGGTTAGCTGTCTTTGGATATTTTTACTTTAAGGGTTTAAAAAGCAAAATTCTTTCTTATATGGGAAAACAGAATTAACTGTAAAGATAAAAATGCTAGATGACTACTTTTTTGTGCCGTGTCCCCTCAGGATGTAGGTGATTATGGCTCTCCACAATATCCTGTCCTTTGTAGTTTTTTATAAATCTTGTCTTTCTGTTATTTCTCCTAAACCCTATTCTGCCATCCATTTACTGTAGCTCACTATTTTATGTATTATTTTCCTCTGACCTTCTTCCCTTCAATCTATCCTGTGTATATCAGATTTTCCAAGTCTTCTTTCCTCATTATGTACAATAGAAATTTCAACTGTCTCTTCCTGATGTTAAGTATAAGTTGCTTTTTAGTTTCCATCTTCTCTAAAACTTTGTCATTGCTCACATGTTCAGTTCATGGTATCCTCAGCATCCTTCTGTAGAACCAGGCTGGCCCAATGCATGCTGGTAGTGACAGGCTCAGTGATCATGTTCATTTTTGATTCAGGATTGTCTAAGGGTATTTGTGCATAAGTGAATGTAATAAACCCTATTGGGATTTGAACCTGGCACTCTCAGATTTCTTATTCCAAGCTGTCATCCATTACACAAACTGTACGTCACACATCCAAGCTTACAGCACCTGGTATTGCCAAGCAGTCACCCATGGTATCCTCATTATCCTTTTGTAGAACCACATTTCTGTTGCTTCAAGTCTCTTCTTCATCTGTGAGGAAATTGTCCAGCATTCACTGCCATATATGAGGACTTATGTAACAGTTCAGTACTATTTTCTTTGTTTCTGTTGCTTCAAGTCTCTTCTTCATCTGTGAGGAAATTGTCCAGCATTCACTGCCATATATGAGGACTTATGTAACAGTTCAGTACTATTTTCTTTGTTTCTGTTGCTTCAAGTCTCTTCTTCATCTGTGAGGAAATTGTCCAGCATTCACATGCCATCCATGAGGACTTATGTAAAAGTTCAGTACTCTTTTTTTTTGTTTCTTTAATCTTCAAGTCTCTTCTTCATCTGTGAGAAAATTGTCCAGCATTCACTGCCATACAAGAGGACAGATATCACGTAGAAGTTTATTCATGCAGAAAACAAACAATTCAATTGCAAAATTAATTAAATACTGACATAAATATTTTTTTTTTTTTTTTTTTTTTTTTTTTAAATGGTACAGGTAAATTAGTAGTATACTAAACAACAGAATTACTTACTGTGGACAGTTCAACTTCCCATAGTTGCTGAACTCTTTCCATTCGGTCATATTTGTGTGATATGAATGTATCATAGTAGTCCATTAAATGAAGGGACCGCAACCACTCTTCCACTGAGACAGGCATGTTGTCAGCACCTGGCATAAAATTATATAGGTACAATACAATTATATCAGTGTTTAATATACAAGATTATATATTTATAATAAAGACAGGTAAATATGTAATAAATGTTGGTTGATTATGTTTAGTGGAATATCACTACCTCTCTGGGTTATTTAATGCCAAAATATAAACATTTTGGAACAATTTTATGGCTTCAACTAAATATATTTTGAACACAATTGTATGCCTTCAACTAGATATAAAATGTATTGTTGGATTTTTTATATATATATATATATATATATATATATATATATATATATATTGTTGGTATTTTACTATAAGAATGTATTTTTTATATTTCAGTGTTTTGTTTGGGTTTCTCTATTTGCCCATAGCTGTGAGCTTAACCCCAAGTCCGGGTGGACCTAAGAACAGCAGCAATTAAGGAGTGGTTCCAGGTACCTGAAAACCTTCAATCTCCTGATCAAAGGTCTTGTTGCCAGATGTAGTTTATCATCATACCCAAGACTAGTTTAATATATGAGAATATATATGATAAAAATGTAAGTATTGAATATATGCGATCATATGTGTCTGATAAAAAAAAAACATGAGTGCTTGATATATGAGATTATATATGTATGATAAAAATATATGTTTAATTAGTTTTCCTTCATAGTAACAGTGGAGAACAGATTACATTAGAATTTACTGATAATAATCAAATACAGCCAAATTAAATTTTCAGAACACACAATGAGGAAAGAAGTCTTAGAGAATTTAACACTCACAGGATATATCAAATACAAATGTATATACTGTACATAATACCTCATCTCAGAAATATAGACAGACCGTAAAAATACAAATGTCAAGCATTGTGAATCCTGGCTGTTGTGCCATTTAACTGCTGAAGATGTCTTTTTGATGGGTTTTTATGTCCTTTTCTTAGGCTCAGATTTGCTCCAATTTTTATTTTGTTTCTTTAGACAGGAGTGGGTGCTATTGGGTAGAAATTCTGGATTGTATTTTTCTTTGAGTGTGTAAGTAAAATAGAAGCTATGTGCAGAGCCAATGTGCAGTTGACAGAATTTTTAATTCAGTCTTGGGTTTCAGAGTGTCCACATCCAACCAGTGGTAAAAAAAACATTTTTTGTCTGGAAAGTTTAGTTTAACAACTCAAAGAAAATTAGTGAATGTAGTAGATGAACATATCCACTCCCAAGCAACAGAACTTGAATTAGGACTGGTATCAAATCTTTCAGGTAACGAGAATTGATTATCTATGGCCCAATTGTTAAAACTCAGTTAGATGTCTTTGTTGAATAAATTATAGTAGAACTCAAGTTTATTGTGACATTGTCACAACATTATATGCAGCTTGGACTGGTGCTTGGCAACTACGGATGTTGTTCTGTAGTGGTTGTGTTACTCTGTTAGACTCCAAGGCTGGCTAGTCCTGGGTATGACTATTGTTGTATCATGAAACGGATAAGTCGATATACATATAAAAAGTATTAGTAATTTATTCCAAAGAATAATACACTACTAACAGTCAGGAACGCAGTTTACTGGAATAACAGTTAATCGGGAACTTCATCTCAGTTCTGTTCAACTTCCGTTAAAAATATAAAATGGCGACAATTTAACCTTTACACCCTATAATATAAAAACTTAGATATGCAAAAATACAATACTGCATTTTTATTAAATAAGTATTTATTATTTAATCATTAAATTGTTTTTTTTTAAATAGTGGGAATATTTTGCATGTTGAATAATAAACTTTTAATTTTTCCAAAAAAATTAATTTAAATTTATTGTACTAAGCTATGCAGCCTAATAAAAACAAACTGTACTTTGTACCCACTAACTGTTTGCACTTTTCCCCAAAATTTGGTTAAAATTGATCAATGTATGGCTATTTTAGAGGGTGTGACAGACAGATGTCACAGAATTTTATATGTAGATTTCTAACAAAATAGGTGGTTGCTTATTAGGTTTTTTTCTTCTTAATCCTTCAACTTAAATTATTTTTCTCTGTTTTATACACAGAGTGTTACATTGTGTCTTTGCTTGTTAATTTTAACACCTTTAAAACAAAATTTCTTTTTATTAATCATCTGAGAACCCTTTTTGTTTCTTTCAGCATGGCTGATTCTTATCTCCCGGGGAGTGACTCATTGCATCTTCTCAGGCTAGAAATATTATACTGAATCAATTGCTACATCTGCTGTTAGAAAAGTTGGTTCATTCTTTCATGCTAGACAATTTTTCTCATCAGAATCTATCTTATATAAGTCTACCATTCATTCATACTTGGAATATTGCTGCCATATATAGTCTAGCGCTCCTGCTATATATTTAAATATTCTTCATAAAATCCAAAGAAGAATCTGCAATATTATTGGTCCTGACCTCACATCCCCACTTCAATCACTTACCCACAGCCATAATGTAGCTTCCCTGTACCTTTTTTTTTTATAAATACTTTCATGGTAATTGTTCTAATGAACTTTCTTCTATGGTACCTAGACTTTATGAATTTAAGTGCAATACAAAATTAGCAACAAGTTTTAATCATTTTATGGTTGAATTGGCTAGAGGTAACCATAAGTTCTTTGCTAACAGTTTGTTTTCTCGCACTTCTCACCTGTGGAACTCATTTCCAGCCTCTTGCTTTCCAAACAAATTTGATCTTCAAAAACTTAAATGTAATGTCTATCGTCATCTACTGTATTCTGGATTCCTCTCCTTTTACTGTTCTTGCTCCTTAATGTTTTACTTTTCTTATTCTTTCACACTCAGTAAACTTGTGTCTTAGTGGCTTTATTGCCTTGCTTGGGGTGAAATGATTTTAGAGAAAAAATGAAAAGCAATCTATGTATCTTCACAGTAGAAGAGAAAGTCCAAATTCATTGAAGAAAGTCTAAATTATATATCAGGGATCAGCAACCTTTTGCTATCTATGTGCTGAATTCAGGTTTTAAAAAAATAATCATTCAATGTACCAACAACACACATATTTTTATACAAGTCAAGGTCAATATACCTGTTCTACAATATATTTTATAAAGTAATATATAGTGTATATACTTTAGTATCAAGAAAAATATATGAAAAAAACAAACAAAAATCCTAATATGCAATTATGCTGTTTTAATGTTAATATAATGTCAATTCGGACGTTTCGGTCTAGTAGACCATCTTCAGGACATATTCATAAAAACATAATTAAATTAGTATCTATATTTAATTCAAATTTTTGACGTTGAATTAAAAAAAAAGTCTAATGAAAATTATCATTTTTTTAATAATAAAAAAAGATGATTTATTTTAATTTTATCAAAAAATCCAACATTGACATTATATTAACATTAAAACAGCATAAACAAATATTAGGATTTTAAATTTTTTTTTAAATTTATATTTTCTTCAAAAAATTAGATCTATATCCATATATTTGCTTACATACTTTAGTATATATTAAAATTGAAACAGCTAAATAGCTTGTAGTAGTTATTGGTTCGGACTTTGTGATATTATTTCAGTGTGCCAACAGCATACATATTTTTATATAAGTTGAGGTCAATATACCTGTTCTACAATATATTTTATATAGTAATATATAATATATATACTTTAGTGTATATTAAAATTGAAACAGATAAATACCTTTGTGTTGTTGTAGTTACTGGTTTGGACTTTGTGATATCATTTGCAGCTGCATACCATTAGAAATGGTTTGGCATGGTATGTGTGCCGTAGGTTGGCAACCCCTGGTATGTATCATAGTCTTGTGAATCCTGATGCTAGTAATTCACCACTGATTGAAGGTGTTATTACAACACAATTATTACAAATAATGAATAAAATTATCAGACAAGAATATAATAAAGAACATTATGACTTTGTTTCTCGGCTTACAATATTCACTTTTAGACTAATTTCAGCATCTTTGCTTTGTTATATTATAACATCTAGGTTATTGTGCCTTCTGACCTTGTCAGATGTCTTTCACTCTAAATAACCTCATGACACATCTGGCTTCCCTGATGGGTACAGAATCCAAAATCTATTTTGATATCATCTGAAATAAGTCACATATTGTAGATGAGGATGTTTTACTATTATACATTGATTCATGCAAACCAGTTTTTATGCCTTTATCATATTTCAGTTAACCGTATCACTCAGCCTTCTTTAAATTTGAATTTCCAATATAAAATACATTTACGATTATAAATTAATTCCTTCTAACCAGTTTTCTTAGCCTGTTTTGTTTCGTTTTTTCACAAAAGCATATTTCAATAAATTTTTTAAAAATTAATGTTTGCATTAATTTTTGAAAATTTATTAAATCTAAAAGGAAATTGTTATATACCATACCTATGAACACAAATGCATTTATATGCATATTGCATTGACTTGCACATACAAGGTAGCAATGGGGTGTTTGGAAAGAGAGCTGGTTTCCAATGTTCACTGTAAGCATTAGTACATCCATGATATACTAACACTTTACTATGACAGAAGGAAAGGACAGAATAACCCAAAGAAATTAACTCCAAAAATAAGCAAGAAATTAAAACATTTCATATACAACAAAGAATCCTCATAAATATGTTGAACACAATTGTAAGTGGGGGTAATATGCTAAATAGTCCACCACTAGCAGTGGTCTCCCTACTTCACACGGCTGACGAATATTGTATTTTGTAGATTTTATAAAGATTACCATTTCATTTCCAACCCCCATTTTGGTTATTCCTTATTCAGTAACCCTTTCTAGATTACAACAGAAATATAATGGAAGAGTATTTTGAAATTAAACTCACTTATCGGTTTCACTTTTGGCAAAGACTTAGCCGCTTCTATGATTTGTCGTCGATGTTTATCGTCTTTAATGCCAATTTCCTGGAGATCTTGGTCTTCAATGATATTACCACCCTGCAAAATAAGAACATGTAGACAGAAATGCATTTTTCTATGCATATTACAATGACTTGTGCATACAAGGTAGCAATGGAGTGCTTGGAAATAGAGCTGGTTTCCAATGTCCACTGTAAGCATTAGTATGTCCATGATATACTAACACTTTAATATGACAGAAGGAAAGGCCAGAATATCCCAAAGAAATTAACTCCAAAAATAAGTTATAAATTAAAACAATTCATATGCAACAAAGAAGTACACAAATGTCATACTAAGATTTTATATATATATATATCTCACACAAATTGTCCTACACAGAGAAATTAAAACACACATAAAAAGAGATGCAATAAGTAAAGGGGGAAAATAAAAAGCAACTCTTACTTGTAACATCCCCAAGTGGGATGTCCCTATTTAGCATGTATGGAAATTGTGCTGCCAACTGTGATCAATCAAACCTCAACTAGCTGCTACATCCGACACCATTGAGTGCTAAACAGCAAATATTATCACCAATGGTCTGTTACATGACCCACAAGGTCTTCTTAAAACAGCAACTAATTCTTCCTGTCAAAAGGGAAGATAGTTGTCTTCTGTACTATTTGCCATCAGCTATTCTGAAATGGCTCTGCAATCTGAAATTCTAGCAATGTGCAAGCAACAAATTTAGCATGAAACTCAGTAAATCTGTTTCTGAGTCTCACAAAATGCTTTTCAGGTTTTTGGCAAACATTCTTTAAGTTTGTCTATATTTCTGAGAAGACAATATTAATATATATATTTGATATTATTTACATCTTTGACTGTTGTTTTCATATTATAAAGAGTCACAATGTTTCGATCATTGTATACTCCAACCATAATATCATTAGGAATTTCCAACCAAACCTTTTTAGTCCACATGGGTAGATTATCCTCATTACACATGCCATGCCTTTTTTGGATATTTCAGTATCAGTTAATTCCCTTTAGTAACTCAACTCTCCAATTTTTTGTTTCATCTGTTGTAGCCAGCTCACAACTCTTTGTGTCAAGTTAGTTTCTGTATTACTCAACCATGTTTTTTTATCCATTTGAACAAAACTGGAACACAAAATATAAATTTTAACAAAGTTGGTAAATCAATTCATTTTGTAAAGATATTCATTTTTATCTTTACAAATTTAATTGATTTACCAACTTTGATTGTTAAGATTCTATATTTTAATTGCGCACCAGTTTTGTTCTCACGTTTAGTTCCATTAATTATTTTTCAGCATTCCTATTATAAATTAATAATAATATTGCTAACGATTTTCTCTAATGAAGAGTGAGCTGAAAGGTTCTTCAGTTATCTGACTTTTTTTTTAGTATTAAAATGTTGACACATCTGTCACATTTAAGGCAATAGACATATATATTATATATATATATATATATATATATATATATATATGTGTGTATGTGTGTGTGTGTTTTTATTTAAGTTGAATTAATATATATATATATATATATATATTATAATTTTATCATATAGACAAAAACAGTTTACTCACTACAAAGATGCAACTTCGTTTCAGTGCATTTCAATTGCACCTCAACCGAAAATGGTTATGAACAATTCTGCTTGTAGGCAAGCTGTATGTAAAACATCACTTCCTTTTTTTTCCATTTGTTTGAGAAAAAAATATGCATAAAGCAAAAAGATGACAGTGAAAGAATAGTGCTTGTTGATAGCAGTTTGGTGAAGTATGTGTGGGGAAGATTCCTTGTCAATAAACAATGGTCAAAAGTTTAGGTACATCATCTCAAAAGCATCGTAAGAGTGAGGGGTTGGGGAAGTAAAGGTTGGAATAGGAGATAGCAATATGATTGAATAAGGTAAGTGGGATAACTTCTAGCAATAGTTATAGTAGTAATTAAGAATGCTTTTTTTTGGTTTACATCATTGTAGTGAGTAAACTGGTTTTGTCTATATGATAAAATTATAATAAATAATTATCGATTCTACTATCAAGCCCACTTTTGGATTAATGTTGTGAACGTTAGAATTTATATATTACTTTCATTCTCATTGCATCGATAATATATATATATATATATATATATATATATATATATATTACCAATATTGTTTAAGGGTTTGATAAGGTTGTCTGTTTGAAATTTAAATTGAATTAATAGACCGATTTAAGTTGGTCCATTTTTATATGTATAATATGATGTGTTTATGTATATATATATATAATTATTTATTCAAAAAATATGATTTAATTCTTGACATAAAATTCCCATGTTTCAAAACAAGTTATAAAAACTTCAATATAATTATTTAAAATTTAAATTGAATTAAAAAAAGCTCTGTTCCATCTTCTGACTCTTTTTTTGGGAAAATTTTGGAAAAAATTTTGGTTTGAAGATGGAACAAAGCTTATAATAATTTAAATAATTATATTGAAGTTTTTGGCTCTTGTTTTGAAACATGGGTTTTCTAAGAATTTAAATCATATTTTTAAATAAATAATTATATTTATGCTCTACTTTTGTATCGAGCACTATTTTTTAAAAATAATAACTAAAATACTAAGGACTTTGGATTATTTACCTAACCAGTTCCATTTATTTATATTTATATATATATATATATATATATATATATATATATATATATATATATATATATATAAAAATATAATTTTTTTATCATTTTTCTGGGTTAATGCCTGATGCAATCCTCAGGTACTAAAAACGTTTAGTACCTGAAGATTGCACCAGGCATGAAACTCCAAGTTGTACTCTCAGTGTAGGGTATTATGTACTTTTATTAATATGTACTTAACAGCTTTGTTATTTTGCATTGAGTGTTGTTTCTGTTACACCAAAGGATATATGTATGCATTATGGGAACCCTTACATGTACATTTATTTATATTTATTCATTTGGTTGTTGGTGCATAATTATCAGGCGTTTTTAAACAATATTTATTATGAAAAAAGAAACACAATAATTCAACAATAACATTATTAAATTGGTATCATTATCAACACGCATTTTTATAACCTGAAAATAAAATTTTTTTTTTAAAAAAGTGAACAAAACAGCAATTTTTATTAACAAATAACTCACCTACAAAAACGCCTGATAATTATGCACCAACCATATATATATTGTGTGTGTGTGTGTGTATATATATATATATATATATATATATATATATATATACACAGTCATTACCACATCTTACTTCTTACTCAGATGATAGCCACCCTCTTACCCCTCACATCATTTGTGATGGCTTCTATCTCAATTCAGTGTTCAAGACCCCTAAGATGATTCTTGAGATGAGCATTCAATTTCATAAATATCAGGCATAAATGACCGACAAACTGTATCTTTGATTGGGTTGATCGGATCTGAATGTCTTATAACTCTCCTGTGTACCATCATGCGCCTCCTCAGTCCAGATGATTACCTGCAAACATTGTTGTAAAGCGTGAGCACCTTTTTAGAGATCACGCTTGACCTGGGCATGTCTGATACTTTCATCCTCTCTTATTAAATGCCTCCACACTGTACAATTTAAAGTCAGTTCTTCCCAGTGCTGCACATCCACATGCAATACATTCAGATTATCCTTCAGATAATCTTTAAAACAGTTTCTTGGTTTGTATTGTGGATGCTTTCCTGTCTTCAGTTCACCGTAGAAAGTTTGTTTGGGAATCCTGTTACCCACCATTCTCACAGCATGAAAATATTCACACATACATGCATCCACACACACATAAAAAAAAAATCTCTCAAAACAATTCGACTGAGCTCTTGGAGAGGAAGGGGTGATTTTATAAACAGTGGTTGCTGCTGTTAATGCAATGCTCTTCAACTAGAATCAAGCTCTCCTAGCCAGTGACATCTTTCGAATAGTCAAAACATTAAAATTTCCCTTAACCTCTGCTGTGCAACAATAGCTTGGGTGTAGAATCTCTGATTGATGTCAAATCAGTCGGGTTTCAATCCCGGCTTGAAGCAATTGAATGTCTAGCCACACTGATGAGCTGTGATACAGCAAAACAGTCTGTCTGTGGATGACTATTTATGCTCTCAAAATAATTCAATTGAGCTCTTGGAGAAGAAGGAGTGATTTTATAAACAGTAGCTGCTGCTGCTAATACAATGCTCTTCTACTTGAATTAAGCTCTCCTAGCCACTGACATCTTTTGTATTGTAAAAACGTTAGAATTTCTCTTACTCTCTGCCATGCAACAATAGCTTTGGGGTAGAATCTTTGACTGATGCCAAATCAGTCAGTTTTTGATCCTGGCTTGAAGCAATTGAATGTCTAGCCACACTGATGAGCTGTGATACAGTGTCTGTGGATGACTATATATATATATATATATATATATATATATATATAGACAGCAATCCTTCCTTTATGTATGTTTCATTAAAAATGACAGACAAGGTACTATGGTTAAGCTTTTTATTTAATTTTTCTTGTGTTCTAACAAGAGCTTTTTTTTCTGTACAAAGGGCTTGTAAAAACTGTCCAAATGTTTTATATTTCCGAGCTCTTTCGGCTATACCTTTAGCCATTATCAAGGATGATTCGATTTTTTCAGCTTAGTTGGGTGTGTGCATTCTGTGTATGTCTTAGTGTGTGGTAGGGATGTTTTTAATTTCCGAATACGGTTAGCACATTGTGGCTTTGTTCATAGTTAATATTGTTGGCTTTTTCTTTTTTATTATTAAAGCTTCCATTATTTTTAGTCTTTTTTTGCAGGTGGATGCAGTTAATATATTTGTGTTTTCTACTAGTATGTTCCTAATGGAGTCTGGTAAATTTGTGTGTGTGTTTAAATGTTTATATATATATATATATATATATATATGACATGGACTTGAAACCAGCTGCAACTTGTGATTGTAGCTGTCATTTTTGTTTAGCCTTGTAAGGTTTATGTATCCATGAGGCAACACAATTCCTTTACTGGAAAATGTAAATCAAATAATGGGATTACATCTGGTTTACACTGACAGTATTCAGGATCACATTGCTGAACGTCAGCACCCTGGATCCAAGCAAGTTAAGAATCCAGTGGCCCTACAGCTATCAGAAAGTTACTTGATCGAATCTCGATCAGGAACTCTCATTAATACTTACCAACCATCAAAAGAGCCCTATTAGCCAGAAGATCAGATCTTTCTGCAGAATTGTGGACAAGGTTTTTCTTCAGTAGTTGAGTTGTTTTTTTATGGCTTATCAACCCTTTCTGGGTTATTTAAAACCAAACCATATTTTAGATTGTAGGAGGTTAGTTGCAGTACCTGATGTTTCCGAGCAGTCCTCTACCTAAGTACTGACCAGACCCAACACTACTTACCTTCAGGGATTGAATAAGAACCAGTATCTTCAGCAGGATTTGATCATAGGTGGGAGGAGAAAAGATGGATTCATGCCTTTCTCAAGGGTATTTGCATATATGTGAATGTAACAGAGTCAAATGGAATTTGATCATCATCCTGCAGCCTCAGCCGAGATTGAACTCACTACACCTCTCCAGTATTCCCTATCCGTCATAGCTCCTAAAAGATCTTCCTTAGGGATCAATGTGTCTCATTTTATCCTATCTGGAAAGGTTAACTTGCATGATCGATTGTCAGATGATGGGTGTCCTCCAGAGTACAAATGATGACACAAGTTCATCTGTGGCATGTGCACAATGCCTGGTGAACTGGACACATCTTTTGCAAACTAAGGTTGATACTCTCGGCAAGTCTCCATATATCATTTCTAGAGTTGGGCGGTTTCGCCATGAGAGATTAAGCACTCTTCTTAAAAGACGTGTATAACATCCATCCAAACGGCGCTGTTGTTTTGCTGAGAGAGTCCAAGTTTCAGAGCCATAGAGTAAGATTGGCTCAATAAGTACGAGGGAAAAGTTGGATTTTGAATTGACGAGCAAGATTGGATTTCCAGATCTTATCCATTTTGTTACAAGCAGTCCATGCTATGCCTTTTCTAATGTTGAAATCTTTCTCAGAGTTCTTCATGTATGATCCTAGATACTTGTAGTCTTCGACACATTTGAGGATGTTATCTGAGAGTGTTTTGATCTCATGATTGTTGTGAATGTTAATTGGCATACACTCAGTTTTAGTTTCATTTAGGTGAAGACCTGCACAGTTAGCTGCTGATTCAAGAGAAGAAAGGAGTGCTTGGGCACTAATGAGGTTGTCAGACAACAGTGCAATGTCATCAGCAAAATCAGCATCAATGATGTAGAGTGCAGGATGACATGAGCTTCTTCTAGGCTGATACATCAGTCCATTTTCTTTGATTGTGTCCACTGATATACGCATGATGTAGTCTATTACAATGATGAAAAGGAAAGGTGCTAGTGTGTCAGCTTGGAGAATGCCAGCCAGAATATCGAAAGGTTCTGTTTCACCATCTGGGGTCAGGACAGTGGCCTGTGTGTTGGTATACAATACTTTGATTGCTTCAATGATTTCTACTGGTAAGCCATAGAGTTCAAGAATTTCAAACATAGTCTAAAAGTTGACCGAGAAAAGATTTGAAGAAGTCTACAAAAATAAAGCTAGAAAACCATTAGAGACTAATGGAATTTGAACTTTGCTCTTCAATTTTTCATTACAAGATGTGAAAGATTGAGAGAGATATATAAAGAGTGAAATATATACAAACATATATACTCACCAAAAAATCCATGTCATCGTAACCATTTGCCACAAGGGTGTTTTCATATTGGCCGAGGCCCATGTCTTCAAGCCATTCACCCACACTTTGAATTTTGGTTTTACCTTCAAATTTAAGAAAACATGAGTCAGTTTACAGTCAAGTTTAAATTAAAAGAAAATAAAAAGTCTTCTGTACAAGCAGAACATATAATGAATTAGTGTGAAAAATTTTAGATTAAAAAATTAAATACCTTACTAATTAAATCCAAATCAATAATATATATTAAATATTTCATCTTGCTAGTTCAACCCAAAATAGAAGTATATATTAACTATCTTACAAATTAAAAAAAAAAAATTATATATTACATACCTTGCAAGTACAAAGAAAAACAGAAGTGTATTTCATATATATATATATATTCATACATGTTTCATTAAATAATATAGACAAGAGTTGTCTATTTATTTCATGTAAATTCTTTTCATAACATCTGATATGCTTAATAACATTATCATTAAACGAAGAAAGAAAATCACAATATTGATACATATTTTTTTTTTTTAATCCAATCTAAATTTTTGGCTATATGTTAAGCCATTATCAGAGATGGCAATTACAGTACATTATATATGAACAATACACGGACAAGAATGTGATGATAGTCTGTTTCTGTTTACATGGAAGATTTCCAAGCAACGACAAACAAAATGCATATAAGATGCTGGAAAAAAAAAAAAAAATCAAAGCTCATGACATCACTCATGACCATGCAAGAGTGAATTTGAGAAGTATTAAGTATGGGAAGCCGTTAGTATAAACCAATAGCTTCTGTTATATATATATATATATACATATGCATATATAGGCACATGGCCAAGTGGTTAGAAGTGGTGTGATTCTGTAGTGCCAGTCCATGATGTTCAAAGAAGGATGGTCCTCACTAAAACCTACAGGCATCATTTGCAGTTATCTAGAGCAGACAGTTTAGTTATTTTTGAATGAGTCTGGAGTCACGCATGACATCCACAGGAAAGTCTCAATCTGAAAAGGCTATTTATAAACATGACTTGAGTTTTTAGGCTAATGTAGTGGTTTTGAAGCAACTTGAGTTTAGTTTGTTTTATGACATATCAACCTCAATGGGTTATTTAATGCCGACAAGATTTTTATTGCTGGTTTGTTTCATTTTACAGCATATCAACCTCAATGGGTTATTTAATGCCGACAAGATTTTTATTGCTGCTTTGTTTTGTTTTACGGCATATCAACCTTAATGGGTTATTTAATGCAGACAAGATTTTTATTGCTGGTTTGTTTCGTTTTACGGCATATCAACCTCAATGGGTTATTTAATGCAGACAAGATTTTTATTGCTGGTAATTTTTTTTTCCCAAAAATGTATTGCTGGTAATAATTTTTTTAAAAAAGTATTTCTGGTATTAAAACCTCTTTTTACTCTTTCATAGTGTTTTGACCCCAGTGCGAGGGTTAACTATTTGCCAATAGCTGGGACGCTAATAGATGCTACCACCTTAGGTCAGGGTGAACCCGGGAACACCAGCAATTAATAGATGGTTCCTCAAAGCCTCCTGGAAGCAACTTTAAACGTTGGGTGAAACTATGCCTAGTGTAGCTTATTCTTTGTACAATTGTCTTTTCTTCTATATTAAATTTGTTATAACTGATCCTCACATTGAAGTATTTGAAATGTTTAGTATTTACTCATTCCACATCCTGAACATTTTATGATGAATTCAGGATATGCTCTTGTGAAAGGCATGAATCCACTTCTCCTTCCTATTGGGGAATAACAGTGTAACCTATAGCTCTTTAGTCCTCTAAGTCTTTACTTCTTTGTGCTAGATGAACAAACCTGGACATGTAAAATTTAACATTTGCTTCAATTGGGTTTCCTTGGAGTATTCAATAAAAAAAACGATTCTCATGAAATTCTGTTGTAACCTAGGTAAGGTTACTGAATAGAATAATCAAATGAAGGTTGGTAATGAACGATAATATTTAGGACAAGAACAACACATACAAGATTCGCCAGCAGCACATAGGAGAAGTAGTCAACTGTTAGAAGTGAGTCAAGTGAACTCCACAATGAATCTCCAACCCTAGACCAACATACAGTATTTACTATTGTATTTATGTGAATGGGGACAAAGCCATTATTATCCATAGGTATGCTACACAAATTCTTTATATAATGATGATTCTTTTATCAAGTAAAATTTTTAAATAAATCACCATTTTTTTTTCTTTCATTTTATTTAACATCATTTATTCACTTAGCGCATTTTGTGCCACTGAGATCACCACTCATCTCCATCTCACAATCGTGGTTCATGGTGACAATCAAGGAGATTGGTGCAATGGCTTGCTGGTTCCTTTTGCATTGCCGCTGAGATCACCACTTCCCTCCATCTCACAATCGTGGTTCATGGTGACATTCAAGGAGATTGGTGCAATGGCTTGCTGGTTCATTTTGCACCAGAGATGTTAAGGTTATCCCTTCTCTCCTCTCAGAAATTAAAGGGGAAGAATCTACAAGGCAGCTGGTGGGTTTTATTGAGAGTTTTACTTCTCCTAGACTGGTTGGCAACCAAGGTTATAGGGCCAAGTGTATCCTGCTATTCACCCGTAGCTGGGCGGAAGAGATGGATTCATACCTTTCCCAAGGGTATTAGTACATAAGTGAAGGCAATGAACTCAACTGGAATTTGAACTCAGCTCTCGGATTCCTTAATCTGAGTCACTATCCATTGTACCTCTGTCAGTTCTTTTTATCAAAATCTATTAATAATTTAATTTCTATTTTTAAATTGCAGAATGAAACAGTTTTGATTTATTTTTTAAAATATTAGTGAGGTATTGTAAGAAAAAGAAGTTATCTCCTTTGTCCCTGTCTGTCAGAAAGAATAAAAAAAGCAAAAGCAATAACCAAAGAACTATTGAAAGCTGAAGATATTTGAGCAGAAAAAAAAAAAAAGAAAAATTATGAATTTTTTTATGTAGAAAATAATTGAAACTTTTCAAGAATTAACATATTCCCAAACAACTACAGATCACAAATTTTTTCATTTTTTATTTTTATTCGTTGTTTAGATTTTTAAAAAATTTTATTCCCACTAGCCTTATCTTTTCCTCCCCATAATTCCTTATCAAGCCACATTGTTATCAATACACTCCCAGGAGACCAAGTTATTTGGAAATATCCCCTATTCATTTCTACTGTCTAGCAGTAATGCCCATCCTTGACAAAGATGCCTTTTGTTATATTTAATTTAATTTTGCACATCTTAACTAATAAGCATAACGTAAATTGTAAATGATAAAAATGGTGAGTCATGCAAACCCTGAGTACAGTGATATGACAATTATTAGACATATAATAGCCTTTTTCTGTCAGCAATGCATGTATTAATTTATGACCTCTGAAAACTCTTTTTTATCACTTTTAATACAGTTTTGTTGGGTTTTTTTTTTTACAATGCTTTCTCCAACAATAAAATGATTAACAACAACTTCAGAAAATCACACTGTTTAAGTAATACAAGCAGAAGTTAGTTAGATTGTAATAATAAAATACAGCTTCTGTCTATATCTTCGAGAAGAGGTATTATGATTACTTGCATTATTTACATTATTTGGATTGTTATCCTCATCTTTATTGCCATATTCACAACGTTTCGACTACTGTACACTCCAGCCTTCTTCAGGTGATTGGATCACTGAGATGAGGTATTATAATTACTTGCATTATTTACATTATTTGGATTGTTATCCTCATCTTTATTGCCATATTCACAACGTTTCGACTGCTGTACACTCCAGCCTTCTTCAAGTGATTGGATCACTGAGATGAGGTATTATGATTACTTGCATTATTTACATTATTTGGATTGTTATCCTCATCTTTATTTCCATATTCACAATGTTTCGACTGCTGTACACTCCAGCCTTCTTCAGGTGATTGGATCACTGAGATGAGGTATTATGATTACTTGCATTATTTACATTATTTGGATTGTTATCCTCATCTTTATTGCCATATTCACAATGTTTCGACTGCTGTACACTCCAGCCTTCTTCAGGTGATTGGATCACTGAGATGAGGTATTATGATTACTTGCATTATTTACATTATTTGGATTGTTATCCTCATCTTCATTGCCAGTGTTGTCATATTTATTAGATGAAGTTTCTCTCAAAATAGTTTTTACATTTGTGAATAAAGACAAAATAAACATTAAACTCAATGACAATGAAACTGTTTACTAAGTTAGAACTTGGAAGTAATCATTTTGAGAAATATTTAAATAATTTATTGAACATTTAAGCATTATTTTTGTATTTAAAATAGCAGAGTTATATTTAATGTTATTTGGTAGATGATTTTTGTTTTTATAAAGTAACAAATACTATAAAACAACATTTAATCTATGTTGTAGCACAGCTATGGATGATAATGGGTATGCACCCATTCCCATAAAGACAGTAGTGAATACTGTATGTTGGTCTGCAGTTGGAGATTCATTGTGGAATTCACTTGACTTACTTCTAGCAGTTGACTACTACTTCTACACACTGCTGGTGAATCTTATGTGTTGTTCTTGTCTTAAGTATTATCATTCATTACCAAACTTCGTTTGATTATACTATTCAGTAACCTTCCCTTTATAACAATTTATCATTTGTCTTTTTACATTTTTCATTTCATATTTTCATTCATCATTTCTATTTTTCATTTCATATTTTCATTTTCATTCGTCATTTCTATTTTTCATTTTATATTTTCATTCGTCATTTCTATTTTTCATTTTATATTTTCATTCGTCATTTCTATTTTTCATTTTATATTTTCATTTTCATTCGTCATTTCTATTTTTCATTTTATATTTTCATTTTCATTCGTCATTTCTATTTTTCATTTTATATTTTCATTTTCATTCGTCATTTCTATTTTTCATTTTATATTTTCATTTTCATTCGTCATTTCTATTTTTCATTTTATATTTTCATTTTCATTCGTCATTTCTATTTTTCATTTTATATTTTCATTTTCAAAAATCATTTCTATTTTTTCATTTTATATTTTATTTTCATTTCATTT